TCTAACAAGCTTTACTTTAGAAGCACTGTGCCAGGACAGTGTCAGCACCGTTGGAAGCTGAAAAGGAATTCCAGACSAGAATAAACCAAAATGACTCTTTCTACCAGTTTTTGATTTCTAAAGTTTGTACCTTGGTCTTAGTTCCATATAAACACCATGCACTTTGTTGGACTTGCAATTTGCCTTTTCAAGTTTAAATTAAAAAAATAACAGGAAGAGGAAAATCTCTTGCTCTCAGGCTSAAATTCAAACAGGAGTACTTTTTTCAAGAGCACAGTTTTATCAAGAACTGATTGCATAAATCAGTTTGGAAGGAGGAAGTGGAATTACACTAACAAGTTTAAAAAAATGACAGGAAACCAAGTGGGAAAAGGGTTTCCTATGTTATTTCCTTATGCAGAGTGAAGAACAGCACCAATAGGATGTTTTCYAATGTATCATTTTCCAACTCCCTTGGAATGAAACTTGAACTCTAGCTCATGCTGTTAGTAGAGGCCACATTTTGGTGCCAAAAATGTGCACATTCACCTCTCTCTTCAAAGCGGCTCCCAGAAAGCTTATTATTTGCATCCATTTCTAAGGTAGCAACATAATGTTCAATAATGTGCTTCAAACCTGCATTGTGTCAAATCCTGAATTGTTTGCTTGCATAAAAATTCTGACTTTTATTGGTTTTGATTAAGAAGACTTGGGCTCTGTTTGGTATTAAATCTGTTGAAAAAAGACCTCATTGACTTCAGTGGGAGTACCAAGTAAAACCCAGCATTTCCCAATGTGTGATGTGGAATTAAGAAATAATCTGTAAAGGACCTGTCTGGGTAATAAAGTGCYTGTTCTGTGCTATGCAGAGCCTACACCTGATTGTGCTGTATCTTTGTACCAGAAGTCATTTCCAAGCACAATCACTGCTGATTCAGTAGCTAAATAACCTGAATTGCCTCACTGRTCTTGTTACTTACAACTCAAATCAKYAAAATTCATCTGCTCYGTGGCAGAACAAAAGTATMCCGAGAAAGCATGGAAGCCCAGTTTGAAAAATCCAGCTTTATATGATTRGATAGCCAATGTAATGAAGCAGAAATTGCTAGTATCAATGGARAATTCCAAGGGTTGCACCATCAAACCTAACTTTAATGGTTTTGAAGAAGTTAATAATTTATTTCTTTTTTAAGTAAAGGATCATATGACTGCTATTTTAGGATATTTAAGATACCAGGCACCTGAGAACCTTTCTCTAAAAATTYAAGTAAGTAGTAAGCCTCTCCAGATCCCTCTTGAACTTTCCTGTCCTCAAGCAGGCCAACACTCCCATCCAACTTCATGTCATGTCCAAATGACCAAGGGTGCCCTTGATCCCCTTTTCCAGGTCATTGATAAAGATATTGAACAGAAYGTACACTGTCACTGAATAASAGATATCAGGAYAGTCTTATGACTGGCATCTTCAATGCAGCCWTAAAGAAAAACATGAGACAAAACCACAGAAATGTGATTCTTGTGCCCTGAAGCCTTAAGAGTAGAAAACTCATGAAAATCTGACTCTGAACTGTACAAAAGCATGGCTTGGAGCATCCTGAAAAAGCAACACGGATCTTCTCTGAAAAGAGTCTGAGCTRTCAGTGAGTGTGGAAATGACAAAAAAGGCCAAGTCTGGCCTTCATCAAAATTCATCAGTGAGAAGGGAGCGTGGTAGAACCAGGCACTCTTACTCCACTAGCATCTGTTTGGGAGCTACCTGCATTGTTCGTATTTATTTCTTTATAATTTTTGTGACATTGCAGGTATAAAACACTATTTTCACACCTGAAAAGAATGATGTCCAGTACATCTGGAGGCAGAGGTGCCATAAATCCTATGCCTGAGCCTACAAGAGGATAATAGAAGACCAACARAAATAATGAAGAAGAAAAGAAAGCSCATCAAGGCACCTCCTTAGCAGCAAAGGTTGAGACAGAAACCTGAACATCAATTATTCTTCCATAGCAAGCAGAAAAGCTGCAGGAGCAAGTATGAAGTGGTCAATAAAGCCCAAGTGRCAATTTTAGCAGGGCACTGCTTAGTGTAGAAGTGCTGATTACTCAAGAAGCAGAGTTGGAGGCGATGATGGGGTGATGCCTGATTGCACCTCATTAAGAAACCAACTCCATATAGGGCCACCCTATTAACAACAGGCATTTAATCCTTCTGCTGATCCATGAACAGCACAACACAGGACAGTCACACAGCCATTGGGGATGGGCAATTACCTGCACCACAGTGTAGACTCTGAGTCTGGAGTTGGGATTACGAGTACAGCATAGCTGRGGGAAGAGCAGGAGGTGGCAAACAGCCATGAGACGAATATTGCAATCAAGGCTATTGCCTAGATACCCACTMGTGATTCATTATTTTTCCAAGTCACCATTTTATTGTTTCTCCACCCCATCACCCCATAAACTCTATCTGGATTTCTTGACTGCCAATACGACTTATTTTCCCCTTTTTCTGGTTATGGGTTTGGCCCAGTGTTCCTTAAGTATTCAGTAATAGGCTTCAGAAACTGGATGAGGCCCTTTTCTGCTGGAAGGCATGTGGCACAAGGGTTGCAAAACCACCTGTCTTGGAAAATGTTTTGAAAGTGCAAAGTTAAAAATCATTACTGCAGTCCAACTGTTGGAATCTGAAGTCTCCAAGGATAGTAAAGATTGTGAGAATGGGGCATATTAAAAAAAAAAACTAACCCATAATAAAATTAGACTTTGGTTCTTAGAGCTTTGACGGTCTTCCCTTCAAAGGGAAACAAAGATGGCAAGAAAAGGCTCTCTTATCCAGAAGAAATGATCTYAAAGCAGCAAAAGAAATTATTTATTTAGATACCTGCTGTGCTCCACTAAAAAGTCTTTGATAAACTGGTATCATTGTTTATTCTGTTATTGCTGATGAAAGCTATTTGATTGTAGCTGTAAAAAATCTCCATAAAATCTTAAATAAAAAACACATGTTGTGGCAGAGGCCTTTAGAAAWAAAAAAAAAMCCAACATTTTAAACATATTTTGAAGACAGCCTGATTCCATTGTTTTCTTTCAAGCTGAAAGGGGAAATACCGCATTGTTCCAAGACTCAAGAGTCACAGATACATGATTTGCCAGTAGTTAAGTTCTTTTTATACCATATTTCTATCTATACATAAAGCAGAGTGACTGTACCCACTAGGAAAAAAATAAAAGCAATTATTCTTGATTTTCCATTAACATTGCRCTCAGGAGCAGTATTATTCACACTAATTTTGGTGATTCAGATTATTCTGGTTTGTTATATAAAGCATCTAGGAGAGGTTGCACAGTGCAAGGTGTTGTTATGACATGRAAAGTGGCTTTCGACAGCTGAAAAATATCTTTTGAGGGCAAATAAARTGGTCAGATTCACAAGCCAAATATAAAAAGAACAGCAACCACGGCTCACTTCTTCTTGGAAGGAATCAGAAATGTGATCTTTAGTTAAAATCCCACAGTTCCTAATAACCAACATGGTGAATTTGGTTGAACAACATAAAAACCCACTTTTCTTCATGTGCCATAACCACTGAATGAGGATCCGAGCCAAACTGAGTCCTCAGAGAACATTCCCGACAAGCCCTAAGGAAAACTCACCCTCCTATTCTAGGTCAGCCATGCTCATAAATGAAGCCTGGCAAGTACATTCATATTAACATGCACTTAATCATCCAGTTAATGATCCACATTAAGTATGACCCTGGATAAAATATCTACCCTGTACTCAGAGGGAATGTGACTCCTGCATGCYCTGMACCAAKCAGAGCAYTTTTAGCAATGCCAGTCTCTGCCARCCTGCCCCAAATKGTGTCCTCTGYTGGTGTCCTCTCCATGYACTCATAGCAGACAGTCTACTGTTTGAAGATCCTTCATGATTATAACTYGTGGGCACGTAACAAACACAACAAAACAGACTGAATAGAGGAGAACCTCAGTTAAAATTTATGTACTCACCATACTTATCCCTGTATTACCTACTCATTGAGAATGGGAATGACTGCAGAGTAACACCTGATAGCCAAACTTCTTGTTTTGGCACTAGCACTAACTAATCAGATGTCTYTGTGTTACCTGCTTTGAAATCCAAAATTAAATCTTCTAAAGTATTAAGAGGAAGGAAAGCAGAGTGCCAGTTTTCATTCCACAGACTTGGATAACTTGGATCTCATGACAAAATGTGTTTTAATTTAATAGTATTCAGCAATAACTTGCTGGAGGCTACTATTTAATTTACATTTACATCCATCTCRGGGCTGTCATTAAAACACAATTTTTATACAAAGAATATTAACCTATCCAAAACAACTGTGCATACGTAATCTTAATCACATAGGAATTTCCAAGGACCTCARTGTATAAAAGGCATTATTACATCATGTGTCTGAAATGCAGATGTATCTGGGATGGACCGCTATGCTCTAGCTGGTTCAGTAGTTCACAGCAACATTAATTCTTCCCTCAGATTAATGGATCCAATTCTCAGTAACAGCATGGCCCCTTTGTGCTGCTCTGCCAATACACAGCCAGCCTAAAGGGGATAAAAATACCTAGAAGGGGTAACTTTTGCTCACACAATGTGTGTGCAGAGCACAGAATTGAGGAAGTAGCATAAACTAAAATATCCTAGAATATTCTCAGCTCAGATCAGAAACCAGGAAAGCTTATGTTGACATCCTCAAAATGTGGGCCAAGTAAAATAAACATGAAAACATGTAAACAGTAAAATAAGTGAAAAAGAACTGTGAACTGGCCTGCTGGAGTTCATGGGTAATTTCAAGGATGCAAACAAGGGTGCAAGGTGCAATTATCACAACTGCCAGTCTTGCTCTGGCAAGAAGCGCTCACGAGTGTGGCTCTTGAAGGACTCACACCAAGACTGTTTGTTCAAAGTGGCCACAAATCATCAGCCCAAGGATATAATCGAACTGAGTAAATTACAGCCAGAATTACAGCATTTTTTTCACTCACTTCTAGTAGAAGTCCACCTTCTTGTACAGCAGTCTTGTTAGATATATTGTCTTCTTTTATCGTTTGGCCAGCTTGCTTCTTAAAGTGCTTTTCTTGAATGGCTGTGGGAAAGAGTTATCATCAATTTAGAAATTATAATGATTAGGGTCACAACTAAAATTCTTGTTWAGGCACTTAATACACATTGAATTTAATTGGTAGTTACTGCCTTCGTGGTCTGGATCCCAGTTACTGACAACTTTCTTTTTTTTCTCCTTGTGCTGGAGATAGATAATATTTTGCAGTCCAGATGTTTTTTATATGAAATATCTATCACATTTTTTATTGAACATATTTTTTCCATTAGTCTACTCAACATAAAGCAACAACCAAAACCCACAGGAAAGAAACAAAAGAAAGTTAGCAAGTTGTTTTGTTTATAAAAATATGTATTATGACAATACAGAGAAATGTCTATATAGCTCAGAAAGAAAGAGAGTGTAGTAAGTTTCTTATTTTCAGTGCTGAAAGACTAGACTTCAGATTGTTTTTGCTCTCACTTACCCTATTCACTTCTACAAGTTTCAACCTGATTGTAAGATTCAAGGGAATGTTCTTAAAYGGTCTCATTTTTACACAATGGTTTAAAATTTGTTTTTACCAGGTCATTTGCCTCATAAAATTCATTAATAGCTCTCATTATAGATTAAAACTCCATATACTTTTCCTAATAATAAGGGGAAAAGCTTATTGCTGAGTAWGCTTTAATGGGAAACTCAGCAGGTGAGTGCTCTTCCTTCACATTGCTTGATCTCAAAAATCTTTGAATGCTCAAATTSTTCCTATCAATATATCCTACAGAAAAATAGCTTAAATATAATCCATTTTCTGGGGATAATGAAATAACTTCTGAGAAGGCTGGCATCACTTGGTAATTGGGCTTCGGCATCATCRAGGSAGTACAACAGGAACCTGTCTTTATCACTTGATCAGTAAAAATTAAGTCAGCTTCACTCCTACTGCCCCATTCCAGAGAAGACTCATACAAACATCCTGGTGGCAAACAGAGATTCAGGTTTCCAGTTTTTTCTCCTTTTTGTGGAGAGAATGASAGAGGAGAGCATCCCAGTGACATTATCTGGGACATTTGATACACATTTTCCCTTCCAGACAAAGGGGAGGGGGAATGGCCACAGCCAGAAATGGTTAATAAGCCAAAAAAT